AGAGAGAGAGAGAGAGAGAGAGAGAGAAGGCGATATACATATACATATATAAATCTAAGCATTGCTTTTGGAGCTGGACGGGCCTCTCCCTTTTCCCTTTGACTCCAAACACACACACACACACACACACACATTACGCGTATAAGTAGCAGTAATGCGGCACGCTAGATGGGATGCGCACAGCACTGGATGAAGCTCTTCTGCGCTTCGCGGCAGAACACGTCCCCGCTGCTCGTTTCCTCTGCCTCCTCGGCGTTGAGGCGGAACTGTGCCGGCGTCGACACGCGGCTGCGCCACCACTCCTCCACCAGGTAGACGAGCGTGTGTTCCACCCACCACAGCTGCTGCGCCGCGGGAAGGCCGCCGTCCGGGGCGGCGGTGGCGGCGAGGCAGAGCGGCTCGCCGGAGCAGGGCAGCACACTCACCAGCGAGCCAAACATCACCTCCGCGCCGCTGCGCACGCCCGCCACCGCCCGGTTGGCCCGCAACTCCAGCTCCCGCTGCAGCTCCAGAAGAGACATCGGCCGCCGAATTGCGTCTGGCCTTTTGGGCGCCGCAACCGACGACCACAACACCGCGGCTGCCGCGTCGCCGCTCGCCTCCGCCTGCAGTGAGCGGCCTGACGAGGATGGGCGTGAGACGGTGGGGCGGCGTGCCTCGCGATACGCCTCCGCCGCTGCCTGCACCGTCTCGAGGCAGTCCAGGTGCTTCTCCCACGCCCCAACGCACTGCAGCTCGGAAAACAGCGTGTTCTGCGGCGGCAGCAGCGACACAAGAGACTCACAGAGTTGTCGTGGGCATCCGGCGTCGTAGTCGTGCAGCAGAATATCCACCGCGCGCGCCACCGCCCCGAAGGCCTCGTCCACAAGCTGCAGCACCACCTGCGAGAGGGCCCGTTGGGGGGGCTGGCAACTTCCATGCGCTGTCGGCCCTCCCTTAGGGGCAGCAACCGCAACACGTAAGCGGGCCGTCGTCAGAAAAAGTGTAAACAACTCTCCCTGGGCATCCGCCGGCAGCTGCACCCCGCCCCGCATGATGAGGGACTGCAACAGCATGACAAGGTAGCAGTGCAATTCATGTAGCTCCTGGAGGGCGTTTTCGTCATGCGCGTGGGGCTGTTCAGCAAAGCCGCTCGGGTGCCCCGCTTCCGTCGCCGCGGGTGAGGAAGTATCCCGTTGCCACGCCAACGCCAGACGACCATCCATGCGGAAGTTGGCTTGCCGCAGCATCACCGTCCTTGCCAATCGACAGCCCTCCATGAAGACCGCGACACAAAATAGCGTCTTCGCCTGCCCGCTACCGTGGCTGCTAATGCCCGCGGTGCTGCTGGCAACCGCGGCGGCGGCGGCGGCGGCGGCGGCGGTGACGGAGGATGACGATACGGGCCCCGGAGAGACCCGCAAGGAGGCCTTTTTCAGAAACTGAGGGTATTTCAACATGAGATGCGTGAGTCCCACGGCACATGGCGTGGCCGGTAGCGTCCGGAGTGAGCGGAGGCACCACTGTCCCAGCGCAACGACGGCGTGCTGGCTCAGCGCCCCGGCACAGAGGACCATGCAAGTCATAACAATGGCGTTGGACATCGTCACTGTGGGTGGCACCCTTTCAGGGAAGAGCCACCTTAACTGGGAAGCACCGTCAACGCCGGCACCACCGGATGGCTGCCGCGGGGAAAACAGGAAGGACGAGGTGAGAGAGGCTGCTCGCCCCATCAAGGCGGTGGAGAGTCCCACGGCGGAAGTCGCGCCGCTCCCCGCTTCAGCGGCCATGGATGCCCCACGACGTGGCGAAGGCTGCTGTGGGTCGCAGTGGCGCGGCTCCGGCTCCGGCGCAGGCGGCTCTGGCAGGGGCGGGGAAGCTCCGGCTTCCCGGGAAGAGCTCCCCGCAGAAGTGTGTGAGTGCAGCGGCGGATTCCCAACCACCGCCGCGCCATCAACGCCGCCGTCTGTTTCATTCAAGACGTCCAGCAGCTCTGTTGGGCGACTCAGCGCACACGGTTCCGCGTCCGCCCGCACGGCGGCGTGTAAGCTGTGCCGCGTCACCAGACAATAGGCGAGGGCCACCATGGGCTTCCACAGCGGCGGCAGCTTGGCCAAGTCCAGTGCACAGCGATGCAGCACAGCCCTGAGCGCGTCGGGGTGCACGAGCTGACTGGCGATGAGGGATCCGCTGAGGTCCAACGCCCACACAGGGTCCTCAATCACCTCAAGGAGGGAGACTGCCGTTGTCGCAAGGCGCTGCGTCGCGCGCAGCATCATGGAGTGATACATTTCCTTCTCGTCACCATCTGCGGCTTCTCCGCAGGCGCCGCTCCCGCGCCGAAAGGACCTTGACACAAACGTCGGAGCCGATAATTCTATTAGTCGCACACCAACACGCCTGGCCGCAAGGCCGCACGGACTCCCATTCACGCTCTCCTTCAACAAGGCCTCTAGCAGCATAGGCATGAAAGGAGGGTATAACTCACTCACACGTGACACGCCTGCGGCTGTGCGCAGTTCCCGCGGAACAAGCCGCATGCATTGCTGAAGCTCCACACTGGACCCCATACCACTAATGTTGCTCTCGCCCCCACCACTCCCACTGCTAGTACCATTACCAATAGCATGGCCCCTGGCAGCAAGCAGGGGTTCCGCAAGCTCTGATAAGAGCTGCGCAATGCTCGTCTCCTCTCGAGAGGTCGGCGTCTGACGCAGCTCATAGGTGGCGGAGAGTGACGATTTGGATACTTTCTTCGCTGCGGCGACGCCGCCCTCTGCCTTTACCTCGTCTCTCGCCGTACCAGCGGACACGGAGGCGGCTTCCTCATCGTCGCCAGAAGAACAACAACTATTACTACTAGTACTGCTTCGGCGGCGGCGGCCGCCACTACTGCTGCAACTGCTGCTGCTCATGCTGCTGCTGCTGTTGTTGGTGGGTCCACTGCCGGAGGAGCTGGCGCCTGCTGCAGTCGTCTGGCCTTCTGGGATGGGCCCTCTCACGCGCTGGGAGACGACCATTTCTTTGAGCAACGCAAAGTGTTCCTGCATGTTGACGCGCTGCGGACGCCCGGAGAGCGCCTCCTTCAAGGCCGCCGCGGTGCCACCGCCCTTCTGCCGCGAGAAAGACTTGCCGCCGCCCTGCCTCATGAACGACGCCACCGACTCCGTCGTCTCCGTTGGGGCGTCTGCGGCGGCGTCTGCGGACGCCGCGGGGAAGCTCTCCAGGTTTGAGAAGGGCAGCACCAGGGCGCTGAGAATCCCGTGCAGGAGGAGCGGGAACTCCTGCGCGAGACTCTCCGTCTTTGCCGTGGCGCCTGCCTCAGTGCGCGCCGTCGATGCGCGGCGGCGCGGCGTCTGCGGCTGTCGTCGATGGCGTTGATGCACCCCACGGCGCCGCACTTCACGCGTGTAGCGCAGCAGCCGGTCTGGCGGGATCGACAGGGCCGCCGCGAGGAGGTACAGCCGCCGCGACGCCGCCGGGGAGTGGGTGAAGTGGGAAATGCCGCCGTCGCTCCCCGCGTCCTCCCGCGCACGCCACATGCGAAGGCGACGCGGCAAGCGCAGGGGGGTCAAAAAACCAAAAAAAACAACCCCGGGCCACCCCCCGCCGAAGACTTGGGCGGGAGGGAAAAAAAGGGACGGTGTTCAGACGCCAAGGGACTCCGCTCCTGCCTCGCCTCGCCAAGTATGCCAGCCGCCCAGATACTACAGATAAATATATATCTCTCTCTCTGTGTGTGTGTGCTTGGGTGTGCCTTCCTGTTGATGTGTGAGGCAGCACTAACAGCCCGCGAGGCGTTGCGGGGACGGAAACGAGGAAAAAGGAAAGGCAAAGAAGCACCGCAGCTTGTGGCTCGTTGTTGTCCCCTCTTTCTCCCTGGCGGCCCCCTGCCCCAGTGGACCCATTCGCGTCCTCCCCACCACCGCACGTGCGCCGTGCTTTGGCCGCCGTCAGCGCGGCTGCGTCTTTCGTTTGTACATTCGCCGTGACCGCCGGCGACAAGTCGCATACATACATACATGCTCGCACGCATTGCCTGGAATACACCAGAAACACACGCACGCAGACAGACAGACACACAGGGGATCACCGAGAGCTCTGGGGCGGGGGCGAGGCGGGGCAGAAATCCCCCCCCCCTCCACCCCTAAAAACAAACAAACAGGCAAACAAAACAACAACAACAACAACAACAGCAACCAACCAACCAAGCGAGCAAACAAACAAAAAATAAGATAAGAAGAGCAAAGTAAGGAGGGGGAACGGGGATTTAAATAAAAAAAAAGAATACATACATAGTAATATATAGCGGCATAACTCATGGAGAGTGGCGGGAGAGAGAAAGTAGCGCGGCTCACAGCGGCGCCCGCAGCTCTCCCTTTCCCCCACAGGGAAGCACTACCGCCAACAGTAGTGCATCCCCACCCGCGGCGTTATACAACTATTCCCATCCCCTCCCCTTCCTTCCTATTTTCTCTCTCTTTCTCTTTCTTTTTTTTCTTTCTCGTTCCTCACCGCCCTTTTCCACCGTTCTTTTTTTTTTCTTTTATTTTCCCGCCCTCGGTGGACACAGCACACATACACACCCGCACCCTCGCTCGCTTATGCATGCATACACATATGTATATGCGTATGTATATATATATATATGTGTGTGTGTGTGTGTGTGGGTGTGCCTGCAGAAGCATACATCGTTTATTCATCCTTCTCTTGCGTTTTTTCTCTTACAACTTATACATTACATTGTTTCCTTTTCTTTTTGTTCCCTCCTTCCTTTGGGCGTTCCACCCCGGCGCGCTGGGGACCGCGCAAGCAAAGCCAACAGCAACCCTCCGCTCCTCCATCCACCCGCAGGCCGGGGGGGGGGGGAACGTGACAGAGAAAAACCAACAACAACGCCGACAAACACCACCCGCTGCAGGAGGAGAGACAGCCACACACACAGCCACACACACACACACACACACGTCGTCTCTCGTGCTACGGGTTCTCCTCCTTGGAACGCTGCTGCAGCTGCTTCTTCGCCTTCTTGCGTTCCCGCTCCACGGTGGCGAGGGACATCATCTTCAGCTCGTGCCTGTCGTGAATTTCGTTCTCGGGGAAGTCGTCGGCGAAGGCGCCGCGGGCCGCGGACGCGCCGAGCCACTTCCGGCCACCAAACACCGCATCCCCGCCCTCCGACATGTGGCGGTCCTTCTCGAGGCTCCCCGAGGCGAAGCCCGTGTCACTCACGTCGTCCATATCGTCGGAGAGCTCGTCGACGTTGCGGTTGACGTCCCGCGCGGCCTGCGGCTGGAGTCGCACGCGAACGTTTGACTGCGGCATGGCCCCGTGCCAGTGCGCCAAGAGCTTCGTGGTCGTCTCCACCTCTCCCTCCCGCATCGCCGTGAGCATCGCCCGCAGCCGCGAGCCGCAGGAGCGCAGCAGCTCCACTATGGCCTCCCCACGCGTGGTGCATGGCGCGGAGACGGGCAGAAGTGCGGCGTTGATCGAGGGCCACGAGAGCGACCCCGTCGCCGGGGCCGTGCTCTCGGCCGCCTCCCCGGCGGCGACCTTCTCGGCAAGGTGGTGGACCCCGGCGTCGACGTCCAGCAGCATCTGCCCCAGGGAGTCCTGCATTCGCTGCGCCGCCTCTAGTTCGTTCTGGCGGTCGGAGAGGTGGGAGTCAAACTCCTCCAGCACGCAGCGACGCACCTTCGCACGCTGCTCAATCACACGCGCCAGTGCCGCGTCGCCGAGCTCCGCGCCGTCTTTGGCGTCGACCTCCTCGTCCATGCCGGCACCTCCCCCTTGCTGCTGCTGCAGCTGCTGCCGCAACAACGCCGTGGAGCCCCCCCCGTTCTGCTGCTGGAGCTCGTTCCACTCCTCCTGTAGCTTCTTCCGCTCCTGCTTCAAGGACACGTCCTTCGACTCCGCATCCCGCACGGTGACCAGCAGCTGGGCGTTGGCGTCCCGGCGTTCCCGCAGCTTTGAGATGACTTCTGTCACGTTGTTGCTCATCGTGATCTCCTTCAGACGGTTGTACAGTTCGCGCTGCCGCATCTGCTGCTCTAGTTCCTCTTGCCGGAGTTGCTTCTGCGCATTCAGACGGGACTTCTTCTTTTGCGTGTTACTAAGCGCCAGTCGCGCGCGCAGCCGACGTTCCTCCCCCTTCTCAATTTTTTCCTGCAGCATCCGTGAGCGCTTCTCCAACTGCTCCCGCTTTGACATCACAAATGCGCGGCGTTCGGTGATGTCCTTCTTGTGTGCCCGCCGCTCCCGCGTGAGGTGCAACTTCAGCCGCTGCACCTCCGCTTTTGCCGCGTCTCGGCCTTTCGTGGCCTCACTCGCCACACTATTCAACTCGGCCAGGTCCTTCTCCTTGCACTGCAGTGTCTTTTCCATGGCGGCAAGTTGCGTGTCAAACCCGGACTGCTCCTGCTGCAGCCGCTCCAGCAGGGTCTCGTAGGTGCGGCGGATGGCGTTCACTTCGTTGTGTTTGATGAGGCACTTGTCGAGGCGGTTCTCCAGGGCGCGGATCTTCTGCCCCACCGCGGAGTTCTCGTCCACGACGGGGCCGCCCTCCTTCATGATGAAGCTGGTCTCCTCTATCGTGCGCTCAATCTCCCGCACCAGCTCCTCCTTTTTGCCCGTCACGCTGTTCAGGCTACGCTTCAGCACACACAGCTTGTTGTGCAGCTGCTCCTCCTCCCTACGGAAGTGATCCTCGCCCGTCATCCGGCGCTGGCCGCGGATCGCCTGCTGCATCTTCAGCTGCAGCTGCGCGTTCTCCAGGCGCAGGGTGGTCAGCACCTCCTTGTTGCGCCGTATCTCCCCGTGCACCAGGTCCAGCTGCGTCCGCTGCCCCACGTCGATCACCGACTGCTTCTTCTTCAGCACCATCGGGTCCTCGTCGAACATCTTTCCGCCCTCCTCCCTCATGGCGCCCACGCACCTCAGAGGCCGACACACTCAGATGCAGAGCGAGAGGCGCGGGCAGAGAAGGCCGCGCTACAAACCACAGTTCTGCCTGCCGCGCGCCGATGACGCCCGGTACACACACACGCACGCACAGCCGCTGGGTGCGTGGGCTCAGGGAACAAGACAGCCGCAGCCACACACGCACTCTCCGCCGTTGGTTTCGCGCTCCCGCGTTGCACACCCCTCGACCTCGCACCTTTTCTTGCTGTGGTTGGGGCAGCGCAGACAGACAAAGAGAGAGATAAAGAGAGAAGGAATGTGGTGGGCCACGGGAGGGAGACGCAGGACGGCGGCGCACACACGCAGAGCCGCCGCTGGGAGCGGCGCAGAAGCGGGGCGGCACGGCACGGCAGCGGTCTGTGGGCGGGGATCCCGCGCAAACACGGAGGGAAAAGCACAAACAAAGAAAGAACCAACCACACACGCAAGTGCGTGAAAGCAACGCGCCTCATGGCACAACCACAACTCGCAGCTGCCAGAAAAGTAAAAAAGAAAAAAAAACAGAGGCGGGCGGCAGCCGCAGTTAAGCTCAACGCAGTGGACACCCAGCGCAGCCTCCCTCGCACCACGGCGGCAGGGTAAAAAAGGAAAAGGAAGCAGCAAGAGCAACGGAAATGAAAAAAAAAAACACACACACACGAAAGGCAAAGTCGAGAAAAAACAAACAGAACACCCGCAACTTTTCTCCCCCCTTTCTTCCTCTTGTTCCACCGCCGCCGCCACCGCACGCCCTCACGCAGCCATGCAGGGCGACAACACACACACACACACACAAATGCATATATAATATACACACGTATATATATATATATATATATCTTCCTGCAGAGAGGGAGGCGTGAGAGTGAGAGCCGAACACGCGCACATGCGTGCACATGGCACTCAGCACGATCAGCAAAACACAAACAAACAAAAAAGAGGAAACCAAAAGAGTCGGGCGTTCAACAAAGACGGCACAGCCGTCGAATTTTGTTCACTTTGCCCAGACGCAGCGTGACGTCGTGTGTGCGCCACGAGCGACGGAGCTGTGGAAAGGGACCGGGAGAGAGAGAGTGAAAGGTCGGAGGTGCTAGGAGGAGGAAAAAAGAGTTAAACCAAAAAGGCAAAAAAGAAAAAAAGCACCGCCAACAGTAAATGCGACATTTTTTTTTCTTTTTTTCATTTTCCCGCCTTTTTCCTCCTGCACGCGTGCGTGTCGGTTGCCTTGATTGCCTTGCCACTTCCATACGGAGAAAAAGAAAAATACAAGCAGCGGCGTGCTACCACGGCAACTGGACCCACACCGCAATGAGTGTCTCCCACGCAAAGTACAGGGCGTCGAAGCCGTTGCCGTCGATGTCGCCGAGCGGCAGGGGCCCCTCCATCGGGAGTGCGGCATCACCGGCGCCTCCCTCCGCCGCCTCTGTGAACGCCGGTGGACTCCCCCGCAGCGGAGCCCCGCCGTCTCTCGCCA